GTCCAGGCTGGTCTTCAGTTTGTTCCCACACTGCCTTTGTTCCTGGTGTGATTATAACTACATACTTCTATGCCAACCTCATTTGTATATATCTTTTGAGAGAGAAGATGAAATCTTTTAAAATTTAATTTAAAAAAGATTTAAAATCTTTTTTTTTTTTTTTGGTGGAGGAGAAGCAGGGGAGTGGTGGTGTACGCCTTTAATGCCAGCACTTGGGAGGCAGAGACAGGTGGATCTCTGTGAGTTAAAGGCTTGTCTGGTCTATAGAGCAAGTTCCAGGACAGCAAGACTACAGAGAAAAGCCATGTCTTGAGAAACTAAAAATAAATAAATAAATAAATAAATAAATCTTTTCTTTTGGTGGGGATGACAGAATCTTGATATGTTAGCTGGTTTGGACCTCCCACAATCAAACAATCCTCCTACTTAGACTTTTGGGTAGCTGGCACTTTAGGCTCAGCCATCTCACTTAGATGCCTACTAGTTCTTATTTTGGTGATACTGTGAACCCAATTCAGGGCCTTGGACAAACCATGCAAGTGTCAAACTCTCTTAGCGTTTCTATTACTGTGAAGAGTAACAGCAACCCTTATAAAGGAAAACTTTTAGTTGGGTGGCTAACAGTTTCAGAATTTAGTACATAATCATCGTGGTGTGATATGGTGGTGTGCAGGCAGTCATGGTGCTGGAGAAGGAGCTGGAAGTGGAGAAGGAACTACATCTCGATCCCACAGACAACAGGAAGTGATCTGAACTAGGTGTAACTTGAGCATAGGAGACCTCCAAGTGTTCTGCTTGCAAGTATGCCTGCATACCAGAAGAGGGCACCAGATCTCATTATAGATGGTTGTGAGCCATCATGTAATTGCTGGAAATTACACGCCCCCATAGTGATACACTTCCTCCAACAAGGGCACACCTACTTCAATAAGGCCACACCTCCCAAGAGTACCACTCCCTATGAGCTTACTGTGTGTGTATGTGTGGGAGGTGACAATTACATTCAAACTATCCACCAACACTGAACTGCACCCCCAGCCTTTGCCTCAAACATCTGAAGATATTGAAGAGTAGGGAAAGTTCCCTGCTTAACTCACTCATGTGCTCAGTAACCAAATACATAACAACAAAATAATAAAGCTCTTGAGCCCATCATGGTGTTACACATCTTTAACTCTAGTACTTGGGAAGCAGAGGCAGGCAGATCCCTGTGAATTTAAGGCCAGTCAAAGCTACCTAGTAAGGCCTTGTTTCAATCAACTAGTGAATTCAATAGGAAATAAAATCATTTTAAGTTAGAAAATAAAACCCTAGACCAATATCCATTATTAAAATCAACACGAGCTGGGCATAGTGGCATATGCCTTTAATCCTGGCACTCAGGAAGGCAGATCTGTATGAGTTCAAGGCCAGCTTGGTTTATATAATAAGTTCTAGGCCAACCAAGACTATGTAGTGAGATCTTGTCTCAAAACACAAAAATAATAAATAAAATCAACACAAAAAAATCCTCCACAAAAACTCCATTTAACCAAGTTTAGCAGAACAACAAAACGATCATACATCAGAAACAGGTGGGGGCTGCTCCTGGAATTCAAAGATGGCTCAACACATAAAAATCAACCAAGAAGTCAGGCAGAGTGGTGCACACTGGGAACCCTGTGCTCAGAAGCCTGAAGCAGGACAGCCATGAGTTCAAATCCGACGGGACCTCACGGTGAGCGCCAGACTGGTCTGGACAGAAAAGGTAAGTAATGTGAATGGGTGTCTTGTCCTGACCAGAATGCTCCTCTCTGTCCCTCTGCCCCCTGCCCACCATGAAGTGACCTTTGCCACACACTCTCTGCCATGATGGTGATGTTCTATCTCATGGGCAGAGGCTCAAAAGCAATGGAGTCATGACTGAAACCACGATGGTAGTAGTTTTCTGAGTATATTATCACAGTGGCAGAAAGGAATCAAGAGAGCGGTGAAAACTTGTGCAGTGACAACCAAAAGTGATTAAGAGAGAGCTGGAGAGTTGCGCGGTGACAACCAAAAATTACTGTTGATGGGAACCTCAGTTCAGTGAGAGACCCTGCTTCAAAGGAGTAGGCAGAGGGCACATATGAAAACACACACACACACACACGAGTGATGCACACACATGAACGTGCACACATGCAAATAAATAATGGTTCTTTTCCCAATGGTTTTTCAAGACAGGGTTTCTCTGTAGCCTGTCCTGGAACTCACTCTGTAGAGCAGAGATCCATCTGTCTCTGCCTCCCAAGTGTTGGCATTAAAGGCGTACACCACTACTGCCCAGCTAAATAATGCTGTTTAAGTTTTTTTTTGTTTTGTTTTGCTTTTCAAGATAGTGTTTCTCAGTGTAGCCTTGGCTGTTCTGGAACTCACTCTGTAGACCAGGCTGGCTTCAAACTCACAGAGATCCACCTTCCTCTGCCTCCTGAGTGCTGGGATTAAAGACGTGTGTCATCACCACACTGCTGTTTAAAACCTTTTTTTGTAGATGCTGGAGAGATGGCTCAGAGTTTAAGTGCACTGGCTGCTCTTCCAGAGGACCTAAATTCAATTCCCAGCAATTACATGGTGGCTCATGACCATCTACAATAAGATCTGGTGCCCTCTTCTGGTATGCAGGAATACATGCATGCAGGCAGAACACTGAATACAGAACAAATAAATAAATCCGTTTGTTTGTTTTGTGGGTTTTTTTTTTTTTTTTGAGATAGGGGTTTCTCTGTGTAGCTTTGGACCCTGTCCTGGAACTCACTTCATAGACCAGGCTGGCCTGGAACTCACAGAGATCTGCCTGCCTTTGCCTCCCAAGTGCTGGGATTAAAGGTGTGAGCCACCATTATCAGGCAGCACATGCTGCTCTCGCAGGAGACCTGAGTTCAGCTCTCAGCACCCACATCTGACAGTTCCCATCCTCTTGTAACTCCAGCTCCTATGTATCTGGAGCTTATACGTCTGGCTTCTGCAGGTAACCTCCACACACAAAATTTAAAAAGTAATTAAAAAAAAAGCATTCAGGAGGCAGAAGCAGGTGGGTTTCTGTGAGTTTGAGGCAGTCTGGCCTACATACCAGGCTCAAGGCCAGTCAGGGCTGCCTAGTGAGACCCTGACTCACAGAAAGAAGAAGAAGAAGAAGAAGAAGAAGAAGAAGAAGAAGAAGAAGAAGAAGAAGAAGAAGAAGAAGAAGAAGAAGAAGAAGAAGAAGAAGAAGAAGAAGAAGAAGAAGAAGAAGAAGAAGAAGAAGAAGAAGAAGAAGAAGAAGAAGAAGAAGAAAGGAACAAAGGAAGGAAGAGAAATAGTCTCGCTGGTACAATAATGGCATGAAGGCTATCAGGGTAACCAATCGCTTTTGGGTTGGATTTGAGGCCTGTCCGCAGGACAGAATTCATACCTGGTAGTGTAAACTGGTCAAGAGTCCCATGGTTCAAGAGGTCACAGGCTCTAGAGGGAATCTGCTACTGTTGTCCAACTGACTTTTAAACATTTATGTTTATAACTATAAATTAGTGTTGCTCTCAATTTTAGCCAGATAATCTTTTCTCTGCAGTAGTCAGCCGTGCATGCAGACTCATAACTAGTCAAAGTGCTGAGAATAGGTGACTGCTGGATGTCCAGCCCTATATGGGACATTTCTATAACACCACCCATCGGGGCCAGGGACCACTGCAGCAGAGGAGGCAGAAGGAACGCACCCACCAGGGGCCAGGGACCACTGCAGCAGAGGAGGCAGAAGGAACGCACCCACCAGGGGCCAGGGACCACTGCAGCAGAGGAGGCAGAAGGAACGCACTCACCAGGGGCCAGGGACCACTGCAGCAGAGGAAGCAGAGAGAAGGCAAGAACCAGAGGATGAGGATGAATGCTGTTTTGGGGCTGACATTGACCATGAACTCACTGCAGCTATGATCACCTGCCCAAGATCAATAAGATCAAATAACATTCCATAAGACAGCATTAATTGAACTCAGTGGGCTATTAACACAGAAAGGAGAGGATATAAAGGGGGAGGGAGATGTGTTGGGAGTACCTGGGAGGAGTGAGATATATGGGGGGGGGGTGCAAATGACCAAGATGCATTATTTACATTATGAAATTATCAAAGAATAAAAAGATAGTCTATTAAAAAAAAATTCCCAGCCTGGTCTACAAGAGCTAGTTTCCAGGACAGGCTCCAAAACTACAGAGAAACCTTGTCTCGAAAAACCAAAAAAAAAAAAAAAAAAAGAAAAAAAAAAGGCATGGCATGATGTGTGCAACATCTGGGAGGATGAGGCAGGAGACCAGCCTCAGCTATATAAGAGTTCGAGGTCAGCCTATGGCTATATTTAAAAAAAAAAAGATTGAGGTGGGACTTTGAGGCATGACATAGAATCTGCACAGTCTCAATACATATGTTAACTACCAAGGAAAATAGCAATTTTACTATGGAGAAAGCAGGCTCCACCTTAACAGAGTAATCAATGTGAACCTAATCAATAACGGGACAAATTGGCATTCTACGCTATGAACTCGGGGTCACTATAAATCTGAATAACTATAAAGAAATGTAAGAGCTCAAATCCAGAGACAAAACAACTGGCCCACTGCCTTCATGAACACCAGTGTCACCAGACACAGAGGAAGAGGAACTATCCTGATTTCAGGGGACCGTCACGCAGATACGGGATGGGGCCAGATGGGGCGGCAGGATGTCACAGACAGTCCTGGGCCAAGTGAAGGCTCCGCTGCACGGACTGGCATGCAAGCCTTTCCGAGCCTCATTTCCCTCCTCTCACGCAGGAAAAGGGCGGTCGTGTTCCAGAAGAAACTTTTGGTGAATGGACCCGGAGCGGGCTCCGCGCAGCATCATGCCCTGGAGCAGGCGAGGAGGGGATGGGGGGTGCGGCGGCGGGGAGGCTGCGGGGCCTGCGGGCGGGGCGACCACCGAGCCTCGCCGGCCCCGCCCTCGGACGCTGACGTCACCACATTCCCGCGGCGGCTCCTCCCGCCGCCCCGCCGCTGCCGCCGCAGTGACAGGCGAGCCGGGCGGGTGACGGGAAGTGCGGGCCGCGGGCGCGGGCGGGAGGTGACAGCAGCCACGCGGGGAAGATGGCTGAGGACTTTGGCTTCTTCTCGTCGTCGGAGAGCGGGGCCCCCGAGGCCGCCGAGGAGGACCCGGCGGCCGCCTTTCTGGCCCAGCAGGAGAGCGAGATTGCGGGCATCGAGAATGACCCCGGTTTCGGGGCACCTGCTGGCAGCCAGGTGGCCTCTGCGCAGCCGGGACTCGCGAGCGGGGGTGAGTCAGCGCAGCGGCCTGGAACCGGGGTCTGAGGCCGGCACTGGGGGCAGGAGGCCCAGGCTCGGTCAGACCCGGCCTGGGTTCCTGCAGTAGTCTGGAGCCTGGCTATCTGGGCTGATCAGAGGCACCCCGGGGGTTGTGTGTCGGTGGGGCCTAGGAAAGCAGGGAGGAGCCGGGGGAAAATGAGTTGGAGTCTGGGCTGAGACTGGATCCGCTGACTCTGGGGACAGGAATTTAGTCGTGACATTTTATCCCCAGGCCAGCTCCTCCACTCTCTGGCTTTGGAATCCTCCCCCTGCTCCGTTCTGAGAGTCATTCTCTGTTCCAGTGTCCTAGCTAAGTGGTACAGGTGTGGGACGAACGCAATCCTCCTGATCCAGGGCTTAGCGTTCATTCTGCCAGGAAGCAGGGGACTCTCCAGGAAGTCGCGGCTCTTCCTTGGGGACCGACCACCTGCTGTCCTGCAGCAGTGGAGGAGACATGTTAATTACACTTAATAACTTCACACATGTTATTGAACCCATTTCAGAACTGGCCACTGGGAGCCTCGAAAGGTACACTATTGAAACAGCTAGGAAATAGCAATCAGGAATTAGACCCCTTCTGTCCTGACCACACAGTCTTCCGTGTGTCGGGCTGTAAGTCTGGACAGGAGCACAAAGGGCCACGAGTCCTACCCTTCCTGTCTATAACTGTCCGGTTAGTGGATTTACAAAGGTGGCCCAGGACCTTTGTGGATGGCTTCAGACTTAAGGGTTCAGGACCTGTTTCCTGCAATGTTATGTTTACCATTAATACTTCTGCCTTAAGGAGCGATTTCTTATAAATATTTAGTTTAAAAAAAAGGACCTTACTCCTAATAGACCCTGTTTCTTATTTCTGGTTGTAGTTTTAGAGTGGTTCAGTGGGCCTGCTGCAAATAAACATACGTATGTGAACACAAGGCTCTCTGACAGATATGTATTTTTCATTCGACATTTTGCTGTGTCGCCATCTCCACTGTGGACACAGAATGAAGGAACCGTATCTATGTATGGCTGAGGGGCTGAATCAATCAACTCCGACATGAGAAAAGTAGTAAGCCTTCTGTAGCATGCAAGGAATTAGGGTTTGCAGGGTTATCAGGGCGGCCCAGGGGGTGATGGTGAATCAGGGAGATGACACAGGAGTTTGATTTCTGGAACCCACATATAAGAGAGAACTCACTCCCGCGTGTTCTCAGACCTGACATGTGTGTGTGCACCACAAACATAAACACACACACACACACAATGAGTAAATAATAATAATGGAGAAGAAACCAGAGTTTGAGTGTCTGGCCTGGCTGTCCTGGAACTTGCTTTGTAGACCAGGCTGGCCTAGAACTCACAAAGATCCGCCTGCCTCTGCCTCCCTAGTGCTAGGATTAAAGGTGTGTGTCACCACTGCCCCTGTGGACCTAATGCTCTTAAGCCTAGCCAGTGCTAGGCAGCCTTCTCCTCTGAGTAGCAGGAGTGGGAGGAGCCTGGTGGTCTGAGGGAAAGGGCCAGGGCCTTCTGGGAGCTGGGAAGAAGCTAGCTCCAACCGCAGCCACCAAGGCGCACCTTAGACAATGGGGTCTTCTGGCTCCATGTTGAGCTCACCAATGCTGGCTCTCAGGAGGCCCTGGGGAAAGTCCTGTGTGGTGTAGGACTGAGCCCAGAGCCCCACTGAGCCTTCCCTCTGAGCAGATGCCCGGCAGCAGGCTTGAGCCGTGGACGCTTTGTTTCCACTTGTCGGCCTTGGGTAGGGCCCAGATGGTCTACGCTTTCACACCCAGTTCTCTGGGCTCTTGGCCTGACTGACTTATGGGCCAACTCTGTGTGACCTGTTGCCCCTGCTGGGCCTCAGTAAGCTCACAGGAATGTTCTGGATTCCCAAATGGGTCAGGCATCTGAGGAGGCCCCACACAGAATGGCATATCCTTGGGACTTATATTTACTTTGCTGTATTTGTTCTTGGGCTCTGCTGTAGACTCAGGATCATAAATGTCTAAGAGCCAGAGAACACCGTGGAATAAACACTGGAGATTCTGTGAGTGGGTGTGTATGCCATCCCAAAGAAGCTGACTATGCTCCACCTTTCTGGAGGCTGAGGTGGGCACCAGGAAACTCATGTGGCCTTGCCAAGAGAGGTAGTGCCACTTCTCCAAAGGCTCTTCCCATAGGCACACAGTATCGGGAGTGGACCCTGGCAAGGGAAAGCTAGGTAGAGAAGCTACCCAGAAGCCCTGCTGAGGAGGATGCTCACACCCATTTGGGCTCACCCTCAGTTAGCGAGCAGGCCTCCTGTGCAGTAGAAACCCTGTCTGAGTGGGTGAGGGGAGAGATATCATAGTAGATCAGGGCTAATCACTGCTTGACTCTGTAATGAAGCTAGAATTTATATCAGTGACAGGTGACTGACTGCCCTCCCCCCCCATGTCCTTTCAGGCTCGGGCAGAAGTACTGCTGTTTTCTCAGCCCTGTCTAATTCGTACAGGGCTAATTGTCCTTCTGTGATGACTACATACGGCCTGCTGTGGGTCACAGCTAGTAGGCATGATAGGTTCTGAGAGGCCTTGCCAATTACAGTGAGCCCCAAAGAGCAACTGAATTGTCATTTGGCCAGCTGTGTCTGTTCGCCCATTCTATGCGGGAGCCCTTAGCTGGGCCTGGGGAAAAATACGCATTCAGAGCCTGGTAAGGAGTTTATACCCCCAGGCATAACAAACCATTGCACAAGAGTGGGACACCCTGTGTAGTGTTCTAGAGTACCCTAGAGATGAGACCTTCTTTTAGTGCCTCGGGGAAGTAGAGAAAGCAGACTAAGGCTCCCTGTAGGAGGTGGCTTGTACACCATTGAAAAAAAAGAAGTCCTTTGTTTATTCAGCATCTAGTGATAACTTGTACAAAGGCCCAGGTCCCATGCATGGGCATGGCTTTGAAGAACACAGCCATGGGGCTCTTCCGGGTGCTTGCCACTAGCAGGACAGACCAACCAAAGCAGGTGTGTAGGTATGAGATGGGGGGCACAGGCTGGACTGGTATAGGAGCGAGGGGAAGGCAATTTTGAGGGTCACTGTTGCAGCAGAAGCCACAGGTAATTTGTGACTAACTGGATGTTAGACAAAGGAATTGGGAGGAGTCACTCACTGTGGAGGCAAAGTGAAACCTTGGGAGGGGCACAGAGAGAGAGAGAGAGAAATAGGCCAAGTGTTGCCCAGGGGGAGCTGTGAGTCCTGCTCTCCCAGGCAGAGCGGTTGCTCAAGGCTCCACCAGGACGTGCAGAGACACAGACCCTCTCTTCCTCATCCCTGGTGGCCTCTCCCTAAGCCTGCAGTACCCTTGCCTACTTACGGGGTCCCAGCTCCACAGTGTCACATAGGTAAGGAACAGTGCACTGACTAGGTAATCTTGAGCAATCACAGAAGCCTTTTTGAGTCTCCACTTGAGAATCTGTAAAATGGGTCACTAAGTTTTATTACAGGGCTGTGGTAAATATTAATTATGACAGCGGGTGCACAGGGAACAGCCAGTTGTTTATATATCTATTATGTGTGTGGGGAGAGTGTCAGTATACCCATGGTTGTATGCACCATAGGACCGTCTTGTGCTTGTCAACTGGACGGTGAATGATTCTGTCTCCTTGCTCTTTCCAGCTGCTTCTGAGGACATGGGGACAACAGTCAATGGAGATGTGTTTCAGGTAAGCAAAGATGAGACTGTGCCAGGCTCAGCACCTTTAGTCTCCACTGGAGGTCACTTAGTGCTCACTGTCTGCTGCCTTGACCATTTTCTTGTTATGTTGGGGAGGGAACCATTGAAGGCGGGAGCTGATGAGTTGCTCAGGTTGTCCTCAGGAAAGAGTGGCATGGGACAAAGGAAATTAGAGCTCTGCCCAAGCAGGCGCTTCTGGTGGGAGGCTGGCCTGACTGAGTACTTTAGGTGGGCTCTTCCATTGGGAGACTACATTCAGAATTTCTCCGAAAGGGTACCCAGAGTCTCTGCAGCGTGATTCCTAACACATACAAACTAAAACAGTCTGGATGTCCCAAACAGGGGCCTAAACAGACTGGGAATCAAAGGTCCTGATACGAAGGGCTATCAGAGCTTCCTGCCCTTCCAGGCATACATGCCCTTATTAAAGGGACCTGCGGAATGAATGACAGAGCATTGTGGCATGTCACTTTCATTTTTAAGTGTTTGCATCAAATATTTGGAAAAGGCATTCCAGTTGTGAACGATGATACTGCTGAGAGTGAGAGGCCCTGGCTTCTATTGGCATCACAGGGACTGGAAGGGGGTGGATGAGGGTAGAGGGTGTTGTTGTTAAAGATAGTCTGGGGATGGAGCTCAGTGGAGAAGCTCCAAGTTAAACCCCAGCACCACAAAGACAGAACAGAACAGAACAAAAACAGTCCGGGAGAGTGCAGACGCCAATGGCACCCCCAGATCCCCACACAGGTGTGTAGAACCCCAATGTCTAGACGGAGCCTAGTCTTCACTCTGAACTTTGGTAAGACAAGGGTATTGGGGCCTGCAGCTTCCTGATCTCCTGAGCCCCACCCTGTGGAGGAGTTGGCCTCTTGGATCCTGGGAGAGTAAACAATACTTTCTTATGTAAGTGGGATGGGCTGGTCCTTACACAGGAAAACTGGCCTAGCCCCATTTCTGGAAAATGACTCAACATCAGGGAGTTAGAAAAGTGTCTCCCTAGGACCCCTCAGCTCCACGTCCAGTTGCATACAGCAGAGCTAAGGAGTAAGTGTTATTCTTGTACTGCTAGGACTCTTGAGGGGCCACTTCTGGGCTCTAAGAACACTCATGAGGACTTTAATGGCTCAAAAGGTCTCTTTGTTCTAAAGTGGCTGTGCTGGAGCAGCACTTGGAACTGCAAGATGATCTAGACCATACTGAGCAGCAGATTTGTACTTTTCAATGGACAGAAGTTTGAGATTTACAGATGTTGGAGGGACTTATATGAAGTCACAGGGTCATATCAACCATTGCTGAAGTTTTCCTCACTTGGATGATCTGGCTGTCCAGGTCTTGAGCCACCCCCAACTACCACCTCCACCCCTCACTCCAACATCACTCTGCATTTGGAGATCTGAAGAGCACAGTCTCAGACGTAGTTATATTAATTAATTTTTTTTTTACAAACCAATCCCAGTTCCTCCTCCCTCTTCTCCTCCTGTTCTTCCCCACCTCCCCCCACACCACCCTCATCCACTTCTCAGAGATAGTAAGGCTTCCCCTAGGAAGTCAACTAAATCTGTCCCATCATCTTGTTGAGACAGGATCAAGCACACACACACCCACCTCCATGCCTATACCGAGCAAGGTATCTCTCCATAGAGAATGAACAGTCAGTTCATGCACTAGGGTTAGATCCTGGTCTCACTACCAGTAGCTCCATATACTGCCCAAGCGCCACCATTGTCACCTGCCTTCAGGGGGCCTAGTTCAGACCTATGCAGGTTCCCCAGTTGCCAGTTCAGGGTCTGTGGGCTCCCACTAGTTTGGGTCAGTTGACTCTTCAGGTTCCCCATCATGATCTTGACCCCCTTGTTCTTATTATGGCTCCTCTCTCTCTTCAATTGTACTCCAGGAGCCCAGTGGTTCGTTGTGGATCTTTGGTTCTGCTTCCATCAGTTTCTGGATGAGGGTTCTATGACGTTAAGTAAGGGAGTCTTCAATCTGATTACAGGAGAAGGCCAGTTAAGGCTCCCTCTCCACTATTGCTTAGATTCTTAGCTGGGATCATCCTTGTTGGAATCCTGGGAATTTCCCTAGTGTCAGGTTTCTCATTAACCCCATAATGGCTCCTTCTATCAAGATATCTCTTTCCTTGCTCTCCCTCTCTATCCTTCCCTCAACTTGACCTCAGCAGTAATTCTTATTCTCTGCTCTCAGGAGGCTTGCTGATTTGTGAATCACATCACACCCATGGTGCCCTAGAATTCCCCTGGGCAAGGGAGGGTCACAGAAGAGACGATTCCCTTAGTTTAGCAGCATAGCTCCGGCCTACCTGCATGGGCGTACACTCTGCACTGTGCTTCACTCTGCTGCTGGACCCAGAAAACTATCTTTAGGACGATCACAGCAGCATTTGGCATGCACTTTTAGGGGTGGAGACCTTGGATTGTGCAAACCCAGCACATCCAAGAGCCTCTATACCTCAGTCTTTCCTGGTAGATTCTGTGGATGACAGCTACCAACCTCATCCCACAAGCAGTTTAAGGGTTAGTGACCAGCACCTATTCCAGCTCCTCCGGACCCCTGGGGACAGGGACAGGGATGGAGGACCCTTGCAGGACTCCTCCTCTCCTCTCCACCCTCCCTTGCATCTCTTCTCTTCTGTGAGCTACTGACAGGACTCAACAGCTCAGCCCAGCTTAGTTTGAGCTGCCCAATCCTGAAGGCGGATATGCCTCATCATCCTGGCCATCCCTGGAGCTTTAGCGTGCTCTTGGCCTGCAAGAAGTCCCTCAGGAGGCGGGTGGGGCAGGAGGCTGGGTGGAGATCAGCTGGCTTGTCTGTGGCCTCTTGCTTTCTGCTCCTGGCCATACCCAGCCCTATCCTCAATGGAGCTTTGGAAGAGTTCAGAGTACTTCTTCAGCCACTAGTATGGCCATTATAGCCCTGGGCTGCTACACCTTCTGGAAGTGACCCCACCTCCTAGCCGGGAGGCTGAGCCTCGGTTGTGGCCTGACACTCACTGGCACAGACAGGAAAATAAATCCAAAGTGACCAGGAGAAAAGCCAGTGAAGTATTTCTCGGACCTGCCTGCCAGCAACGCTGCTGAACTCACACTGTCTGGTAGTGAGGACTCTAGCCACACGGTGACAGTAAGCCTCAGTAGTCATACTTCCTTACGCGAGTGGGCAGTGATTCCATGGCTGTTGCTTTGTATGAAGCATTACTAGGTTCCTTGAGTGGGATGCTGTCATTCTCCTTCAGAGTTTGGAAATCAAAGTTGCCTAGGGAAGGGATTTTTCTCTACAGTAATCACCCAGTGCGTGGCAGAACAGGCACTTGAAGCCAGGCCTCTGATACAATGTTCAGTGCCTTTCCCGGGCCCTCCCCCGGCTTTATAATCAACCATTTGTTCATTCTTTTCTCAACTCACATTCTTTGTGGGCCAGGCCTGCGCTGTGGCGGTGGATGTGAAGGCAAAGCCAATGGAGTGTTTGTCCCCAAAGCTCATTTCTAATGGAGTACAGAGACCTGGAAAGAAGTCACGATAGCCCAGGAGCTTGGATTTGAGAGTAATGCTGAGACAGGAGGTCATAAGTTCAAGGCTAGCATGGGGCACATTTTGAGGCCTTAAAATAAAATCTAACAACTTGAGTGTTTTGTGTCTAAAACCAGCTGAGAGCTTTACAGGGATTAACCTACTTAATCCCAATTCCCCCTTACGCAGCTTCTTTTAATACCCTTTTCTCTCGAGGAGATTCAATAGCTGTGTTAGTTACATGGCTTCAGTAACTTCAGGAGCTGAAGTCTGGGAGCCTAACAGGGAAGTGACACAAGAAGTGGGTTTCAAAGCCGCCTAGGGAGACCTTGTGGTCCTGGCTGAGGGAACAGAAGGTAATACAACATTTGGCTCAGGCTCATCCAGAGCGCCTGTAGGGTCTGCTGCATAGAAGAACGTGTCAGAAAAGCCCTTAGAGGCCACAGACCCAGGGCTGATATGACTGCCTAAAGAGGAGTCACACGTAACTCTCAGCCACAGCATGACAGCGGCCTCCTGTGTGGTGTAGGAAGTGGTCCCAGCTTGAGCAGATCTCATATCCTGGCCCTGGAACGAGGCCAGATCTACCTCAAGGTATGGGAGGTGTTTGGAACCGAGACTCAAATGTGCCCTGGGTGTGTAGGAGAATTCCTCCAAGGGCTGCTCAGGCTTCACACCCAGACCACAGACAGCAGTGGAAGCCAACAATTCATTTTCTGGCTTTTCCCAGCTGGATGACCTTAGATTAATAACCTTTCAAGGCCTGGTTTCTCATTTGTAGCTGGTGTCCCCACAGGGTTGTTGGGAAAAGTACTCTGTGACCAAGACAGTGTCTTATAAATTACTGACTTGTCCACTAAGTGAGCTGAGGAGTAGCCTGGAGGTAGCAGTACAGGAGCCACAGAACAGAAGCAGCAGTGTTTCTGTCAGCTGTCTTGTGCCAAGGGATGTTCACACCCAGTTATTCAGTTTGAACTTGGCTCTGTCACTTGCTTGCCAAGGGTGACCGTGGCACTTTGGAACTAGAGTTCCCTTACCTATAAAACAAGGGCAATTAAACCTTCTCAGAGGAACTGTAAAGATCAAAGACATCTGTTTAGTTACAAGTGCTCAGGAATCCTAACTTCTTTTTTACATGATTTATTTATTTCTAAGTTATGTATATTGGTATTCTGCCTGTATGCAAGTCTGTGTCAGGGTGTCAAATTCCCTAGAACTGTAGTTACAGACAGTTGTGAGCTGCCATGTGCTGCTATGTGGGTGCTGGGGATTGAACTTGGGTCGTCTGGAAAAGTAGACAGTGCTTTTAACAGCTGAGCTATTTCTCCAGCCTGGTAGATCATACTTTCTTAGGTGGCTAGAGGGCTGGGGAAGGGCATAAAGTATCCATGTAAACAGCCATTTCAGAAGCAACAAGTGCTCTGCAGACAATAAATACAGCTGTCCCCGGGTTCCAAAAGGAACTGGT